AAACTCAAAAAAGTTCATGGGCTGGCATTCATGTGTCTCTAGGGCTAAAGACCTTCGTCAGGCTTTTCCCACCGCAGCCCCCGCGCCGCCCGCCTCCGCGCCGCGCGTCCCCTCACCATCCCCCCGCCCTCGCCCTCCGCCCCCTCCCGGTCCCCTCCGCCCCCTCACGCTTCCCTCTCCACCCCCTCTGCCCTCCGTGGCCTACTCCAGCCCCGTTCCCACCTTCCCCAGGTGCCTGCCGAGCCCGCCGCGCCCACCCGCTCGCCTGGACCTCGGGCCGACCAGCTCGCCTAGGCCTCGAGGTAGCTCCGCGAGCGTAGACTGCTGGGCTAGCGGAGCTCCCCGCGGCCCAGCCCCCAGCCCCGCCCGCTCCTCGCCCCCGCCCGCTCTTCCCGCCTCCGCGGAGCTCGCGGGTACGCGCACTTCTTCACCCGTACTCTTCGCCCCCCCCCGTGTCCCCGCCCAGCCCGCGTGTCCCCGCCCCAACCCGCCCCCGGCCTTCTCTCCGCTCCGCACCGGCCAGGGCCTCCACGGGATTCCCGGGCTCGCGCACAATTCTCTCACTCCGCCCCGCCCTCAGGCCCCTCACTCCGCCCCGCCCTCAGGCCCCACCCAGACCACGCCCCCACGCTCGTTTCCACTTCGCCCGCTGAGCTGCGCAGGACAGCCCACGGGCCTTTACCCAGGCGGGGCCTCCGGCTCCCCAGCTCAGCTCCGTCCCTAGGGCCTGTGAGACCCCAGGGACCCGCCCCCGCTCGAGCGCGCACGCGCAGTCCCCACCTCTCCGCGCTCCGAGCCCTTGGCCCTCAGGTCGCCAGCCCAGGGCCCGGCCCCGCCCCCAGGCCCGGCCCGGCCCCGCCCCTCATGCCGGGTCCGCGCACGCGCGTCTCCCCTGCCCAGCCTACCCCTCGCCCCTGTCAGCCCCGCGGTCCCACGGCTCTAGGTCGCCCCCAGCCCCTTCCCTCCTCCCATCTTTTCTCTGTCCCACCCTCCGGAGCTTTGTGCCCGGGGAGCCGAGCCGCTTCCTCGCTCTGCCACGCCGCGGGAGGAGGGAGCTGCCACCGACGAGCTGCAGCTCGCTGCCCCGGGCAGGGGCACAGGTAGGTGGCGGCCGCGGGCTGGGCCGCTCACGGAGCCCTGGGCCGCGAGTGGGGGCGGGGGCGAGGTGTGAGGGAGGGGCTGGTGGGGGAGGGGAAGGCCGGGGGGGGGGGGGGTTTGCGGTTGGGGTGTGGCTCGGTGAAAGGTGTGAAGATGAGGCTATAGGGGTGTGGAAGATGGGTTTAAGGGTGAGGTAGTGGTGCTGCGGTTGGGTATGGGGGCGTGTGAGAATCGGGGTTCGGGGCGGGGTGGGAGAAGGGAACCGGATTTTTTGGGGGTGGATTCGGGGAGGGGCATACGTGGGAATTTAGAGAAATGGGGAGTTGCAGTGCTGGGAAAGGGGCTTTGAGGAGTGCAAGGAGGAAAGGATCTAGGTTGAAACAGGAGAAAGGGTGGGGTCTTGAGGGTAGGGAAGAAAGAAGTTGGGGCTGTGGATTGTGAAGTTGAGCCCAGTGAGGCCTGAAGGAAGGGGATTTTGAAGGTTGAAGACAGGACAAGAAAAGAGATGGAGAGGTTTGGATCCTAGGAGAGGGAATCCCAGAGGGGGGAGGAAGGGAAGGATAGGTGGTAATGGACGGAATAGATGGTGCCTGGGGGTGAGAGTGGGTGGAATGACGTGGGGAGTAAGAGGAAGGCCGGTTGGTGGTGGTGGGATTGGGTCTGGGGACCCGGAGCCCAATTCAGAAGGGCCAGGGAAGGATTAGGTTTTTACAGCGGTTCTCAACCTGTGGGTCGCGACCCCTCTGGGGGCCGAACGACCCTTTCACAGGGCTCGCCTAAGACCATCGGAAAACACATATATAATTACATATTGTTTTTGTGGTTAATCACTATGCTTTAATTGTGTTCAATTTGTAACAATGAAATTGGGGGTCACCACAACATGAGGAACTGTATTAAAGGGTCGCGGCATGAGGAAGGTTGAGAACCACTGGATTAGAAGGCCATAAGGTTTCAGAGGTGTGGGCAGAGGAGCTGAGAGTGGGTGAAGGAAAGAGGGTTTGGGATTTTTCCTGGAGAAACTGGATTTTGTGTGAAAAGCTCTAAAGTTATCGGGTAGGAAAACTAAACTTTAAGTCTCCAGATGTGGGAGAGGTTGGTGTGTGCCTGGAGGACACTAGGGAGCAGGGTATGGTGCTGTCCTCGGGAGCTTGGGAGAGGAAAGGGTGTGGGCAAGAAGGCAGGTAGGAAAATGCAAGCTACAGGGGAAAAGAAGAGTGAGAGGAACTGAAAATTGAATAATGGTGGCTGCCCAGAACAGTGAAGGTAAGATTGTTAGTTGCTTATTCATGGCTTGGAACTAGTTTCTGTTCAGGTTTTTATGTTGGAAATTTTCTCAAGAATTCTGCATTTTCAAATTAACCAAGGGTGTCTGCAGCCTGGGGATGAAGGCCGTGAGTTGACAGATGTTTTCCTGGTGTGTGGATGTGGGTCATTTCTGCCCTGGCAGAAGGAAGAAGGGAGGCCTCAGTGTAGCTCTCTGTCCTGGCTCTGTTCCCACCAACTCTTTCCTCAAATGTCCACTGTTTTTGTGTGTGTGTGTGTGTGTTTTAAGTCTCCTCCCTGTCCCTCCATCCTCCCAGCTTGAGCCAGTGAATACCAGAGGAATCAAACAGGTGGGTGAGATTAATTTTTAACATACTGTTTTATCCTTATGTCATATTTTTATTCTTGAGAGACTGCATCATGCAGTGGAAAGAGCTTGAATTTTGGAGTATTACAGCCTTGAGGTGTAATGCTGGCTCTGTCACCTATTAGTTGTGTATTTTAAGTAAGTTACGTTACTTCTCTGGGCCTCTTCATCTGTTAAATGGCGGCAGTCTTGACCTCATAAGATTGTTGAAGATTCCATGAGATCATTTAATATAGTACCTAGCATAGTGCTTGACAACTGGCAGATGCATAATAGATGGTAGCTGTCATACCTACTATCATTATCATCATAGTCTTTCCTAGGATTTATTATGATGGGGGTTGTTAACTTACTTTACCTACTAAAGTTAGGTGTTTTCTTCTCTTTCTCTTCAAATTAGATATCCATAGGCTCAGATCACAATTTTAATCCTGTTGCCTCCTACCCCCCCAACTCTCCAACCCCCCCACTTGACATGAGAAGAAGGCATTTCCTTATTCTCATGCTTCCTGCTTGGTAAACTGGCTTCAGGTTCTAAAAAAACTGTCATGTTTAGTTATCAGTTCTTTTATTTTGCCTCTGATTCAAAGAGGCTGCAGAGAACTGAGTTATTAATGTAGCAAGGTTATATTTTACTCATTGGATGAAATGACATGCGGCGTGGTATTGGTTCATTTATGGTGGCCAAATGCTAGAACATGCACTGTTGTGGTATTTTTCTACAATGTTGTATGTGTTACAAAAACGCCTCTCTGTAGGAGGCTGGGAAATTAATAGACTGGCCCTGTTACTCTGTTGGTCTAATATAAAAGATAGCTAATGCAGATCTACACTGGACATTGTTATCCTTACAGATACTGATTATTTTAATTTTCCAGTTTCTATGGGTTTTGCCATGGTATGTCCCCTGAGGAGACCCATTCATAATAGACCACCCTGTACATCAGCCAGGTGGAAAAAAGAAACAAGTACAGAAGCTTTGTGTGGAGTTCTCTTGCCTTCATGGTTTATTATCTTGAAAGGTTTAAATACAAAAGGTGGTAATTTTTAGATCATTTTATAGTACCTCACAGATTCTGAGGAAGCTCCTTATTGGGAGAATGCAAGATGCAGAGATTCAGTAGTAGAAATCAAAGCTCAGCAGGATACCCGGAACCAAGATGAGTTCCTCAAGTGCCATAATTGAAGAATAGAGAGGCCTTGGGGTTTTGGGACAGATGATATGGGTTTACTCTTTAGGAAATTTTGGATTTCTTTTCATTATTTAGGAAGACAACTAGCATTTGATGAGTATTTTAAGGGTAAAATACAGCCATAACTATGCCCCTTTTTTGAAAATGATCTCTGGAAGCAGAAGCTGCCAGGATTTGGGGCAGCCTGGGTGAACATCCTTACTCCTGTCCCAAGCTGCTGTGCCCCCTGCTGGATAGAATCAGACTTTTCTGATTTTCACCCAAAGTACTCCATTCCCGCATTTGTCCATTCTACTCCAAAGTTTGTGGAAGGCACTATTGGGGGTGAAGATTATGGGTAATACAGTTGGGCAGACTCTGTTTCTTTGTCAAAGAGCTTACAGTGTGCTGAGCCATTGTAATATATTATCTTCCATTGAATTTGCCTTTCTATTAAAATCAAATCATTTCTTTTTAGGACTGTACCTGCTGTCTACTTTCTGATGTTCAGGTAGAGTAGGACTCTGAATGTCCAATCATAGAGATAAAGACCAAAGGGTCTGCTTTATCTCCTCATCAAGATTAAAGTCTGTGAGGTTGAAGGAGCCAGATGTTTACTTCTACTGGAAGAAGACCTTAGAATAAGTGAGGCATCTCCTTAGTAGCAAGCTGAACACCAGCAAGACTATGAGTTATAAGAGCCTGCACTGTTATAGGAAGCTTTTGTTTTTTTCTGGTTTGTAGATCCTCCCCCCGCCCCCGCCCTCATAGTACCAGTAGCAATATACCCCCATCATTTGCTTTGCTTCTACCACCTGCAGAAGGGTCTGGCAAGTGGGGGAGGAGCTGCAGCTGTTGCCTGGAAGAGGAGCTGGCTCCTAGCAACAGTATCAGCAGGCCCTGAAGCTCAGAGCACTAAGCCTGTCCCTTTGAGGTCTCACTCTTCATCTCAGCAAATATCTGTTGAGGGCTTACTCAGCACCAGGCGCTACGTTGGGCCTGGGAATGAGAAACAAATCAAATAAGTGCCTTGCCTTCAAAGAGCTCACAACTCTGGGAACATTGGTAAGGGAGGAGACAGAGTACATGGTGCTAAGTGTTATGTAGAAGGAGCCATTGGTGCTTTGGGAAAAACCAGACAGGCACTGGTACAGGGGTTAGGGAAGGTTTCCCAGGAGAGGGATGGTGGTGGTGATGAGTAGGAATTAGCTAAGTCAGGGAAGCAGAGAAGGGTATTCCAGCCAAAGGGAGCCAAATGGGCAAAGGCCAGTGGGAAAAGAGCCCAGCCAGTTTACCTGGTGGGTGGTATTGCATAGTCAGAGTAGAGCAAAAGGAAAAGAGTGAGGCTCTTAGCCTAAGCAAGGCCCTCTTTTCTGATGTGTTTTACGCACATAATTATCCTTGGGAGAAACATGGATTGTACTGATGCCCACAAACAGGATCAACTGTTTGATCTTCAGAGAGTCAGCATTTTTGATCACTGACTTGTTTGCTGACACTTTTAAGTGTCATCATAGCTACATCCTAGCCCTGCATCGATGCAGAAAAAGCTGGGTGGGTTCACTTTAAAAGTCAGAGATAATAGCAGCTTTTTGAATTTCGTGTACTAATTATAGAAATGATAATCAAATACTTTCCTTTAACATAGCAATTTCTTGTGTATTTGGAAATCTCACAGTTCCTCAGGAAAACAAGTATTTATTCCAGTTAGTGCTTCCATACAAAATATAACCATGTGATCACATAAATACCCAACTGTTTTTAATATTTCATCTTACCTCAAAAGTGCCCTAAAAGTATCTTCATAAAAGTGATGCTTCCAAGGGTTAGAATAGCTTTTATTTAGCTCTTGTGATGGAGGTCTTCATTTGTAAATCCAATACAAACCCTATTGCTTGTGGTCTATGTAAGGTTTAGCAAATGAGTAAACTGCAGTTCTGCAAATACCTGCTTAGGGCCTGTGACATGCCACAGCACTTTGTTAGGAAGTCTGGCTGAATTAAACATGCTCCCTCCTCTCAAGGAGCTCAAACCAGCTGAACACAGACCCAGAAACAAATCAGTAGCAGAGCAGTGAGCCAAGTACAACAAAGAAGTGTGAGGAAGGTACCATGGTAGCAAGGGAATTTTTCATTTCTAGTCTTTGTTCTCTCTCTCTCTCTCTCTCTCTCTCTCTCTATATATATATATATATATATATGGTTTAAAAAAATAGAAATAATAAATTCCAAATGTACTATTTGTAACTTGCAAATCAATAAAAATTTTATAATTGTAATGGCTGCATAACATTCCATGGTATGGATGTATCATAATTTATTTAATGACACTCCTGTTTTTGGACATTTAGGTTGTTTCCCATTGTTTTGCTAATATCAACTGCTGCCATGACTTACTTTGTCGATGATTCTTTGCCACTTCTGCGTTAAACTTCCTGAGGGTAAATTTTAAAAATGACATACTGGTATGAACTGGATTCTGAAAGATGAATAGAAGATCACCAGATAGACAAGAAAAGGGGGAGGGTAGGAAAGGGCATTCCAGGTAGAGGCAATAGAAGCAATCTCCAGTGCCAAAGTTCATAGGCAACTGGTAAGCTTCATTTTCCCAAACCAGCCACAGGGCCTGCCTGGTAGGCTCATAAAACTCTGGGCACAGCAAGATGTAGTTACATGTTACAAATGGCATTTTAATTGGATTTGCTTTCCTTGTGCCTTGCTTTTGCAGTTGCAAGCAAGGCAATGTCTTACTACCTCAACTCAGAAAACCACCTGGACCCAGGGCCCATCTATGTGCGAGAGAATGGGCAGCTGCACATGGTCAATCTGGCATTGGATGGCGTCAGGAGTAGCCTGCAGAAGCCAAGGCCTTTCAGACTGTTTCCCAAAGGCTTTTCTGTGGAGCTTTGCATGAACAGGGAAGATGATACTGCACAGAAAGAGAAGACCGATCATTTCATCTTCACATACACTCGGGAGGGGAACCTTCGGTACTCGGCCAAATCCCTCTTCAGCTTGGTCCTGGGCTTCATCTCCGACAATGTTGATCACATTGATTCCCTTATTGGCTTTCCTGAGCAGATTGCTGAAAAGCTGTTCTCTGCTGCTGAAGCCAGACAGAAATTCACAGAGCCTGGTGCAGGGCTAAGAGCTTTACAGAAATTCACAGAGGCCTATGGAAGTCTGGTGCTTTGCTCCCTGTGTTTGAGAAACAGGTGGGTATTCTGATTAGGATATTGAATGTTTTATTGGGTGTGTTAATTGTGTCAAGCTCTGGGGCTTTAGTAGGCTTGGAGGCTTCCCCCATCAAATAAAACTTTAGTTTGGAACTTCCAGACAAAGAGATGCACCATTTTGAGAAAAATCACTGTCTGTCTTCCACCCTCACTCTCACAGACAACGCTTAGCTTTATTTTGAAAACACTTTACAAGGATTAGTTGATTGCCACAGCTCCATTAGGTAGACAATACTTTTCTATCAACTTTTCTCGTAAGAGAAAATCTCAAAGACAAGATGTGATCTGTTTCTTGGTGTGCTTTGGGGATGTGAACATTAGCAAGCAAAGTTCTCCGCCCTGTTCCAGTTTTCAGTCTACTAGGTCTTGAGCATTAGATGAAAAGAAACTTGAAAAGAATGACTGATTAAAATTTCAAGTATCCTAAAATTTGAAAATTTTCAAATAAGGTCCAAACACTAACACAAAGGGCTATCTTTTCCTAACAAAGCAGATATATTTTCTTGTAACTTGCCTTTGCTCATATACTTCTTTTTACTTACAATTTTTATTCCACCATCATGTAAAATGACTTTCAAAGCATCTACGAATTTTTTAAAAACTTGAAAAAAATGTACACAGAAAAGAATTTAAAACAAACACAAAAAAGTAGAAAGGCAAACATAAGCCTTCCTCTCATCTCCTCTTTCCTCTTTCCAGAGGCCCCTACTATTATCAATTTCGTTTATATCATTCTAGAGATATTCTGTACATATACATGCATATACAGTTCCCTTTGTCATACAAATGGCAACACATTGCTTACATTGTGTGTACCTTGCTTCACATATTTTGAAAATTATTTACCATCAGTACTTACAGATTTTTTAAATAGCCGTATAGTATACCACTGTATGAACTTGTTTGTGATAATGTGAAAGGCAGCTGACTATTAAGATGCATGGTCAATATGATCATTAGGACCTTGGCTGGGTAGCTCAGTCGACTAGAGCTACCCGATACACCAAGTTGTGGATTTCATCCCCAGTCAGGGCACATACAAGAATCAACCAATGAACACATAAATAAGTGGAACAACAAATTGATCTCTCCCTCCCCCTCTCCCCCTCTCCCCCTCTCCCCCTCTCCCCCTCTCCCCCTCTCCCCTCTCCCCCTCTTCCCTCCTCCCCCTCTCCCCCTCTCCCCTCTCCCCTCTCCCCTCTCCCCTTCTCCCCCTCTCCCCCTCTCCCCTCTCCCCCTCTTCCCTCCTCCCCTCTCCCCTCTCCCCTCTCCCCCTCTCCCCCTCTCCCCTCTCCCCTTCCTCTCCCTCTTCCCTCCCTTATCCTCTCTCCCTCCCTTCCCCTTTCTCTCTTTCTCAAATCAATTTAAAAAAATATATTATAGTTAAAACAAGGCTAAACAGAAAGTATGTACTAAAAGAGAAAGTCATTCCAGAAAGCATAAGCATAAGCTCATATTGCTTGGGAAAATAAAGAAGCAATCTTTAATCAGCTCATAGAATTAATATTTTTACCCCAGACCAAATATTGTATTTTAAAAAGAAAAGACATAAACAGATGCAGGAAAAAAACAGAACTGTGGACTCATGAGGTACAGACACCTTATGAAAGCTCTGTCTTTGTGCTGTGATCTCAGTCACGGCTGAGCCTGGGGCTGCTGCCAGTGGAAAGGAAAAAATTACCTTTTCTAAATGAAAAAGTCAGGCAGTATTTCATTGCAGCTCATACATTTGAAATACATTTTACTTCTTTATTTTTTATTCCAAGTTATTTGTTTATTGTAGAAAATTTTGAACAATGAAAAATAGAATTATGATGTATACCTCATTTTAAAATTATTTTATAAAGGCAATACATACTATTTGTGAAATACATAAAACTGTAATATTAAAAAATTATAGTCTCACCATTCTTGGTAATCACTTTCAAATATATATCTTTATACATTTGGGAATATAACCAAATCTACAACTAGTATTCTGGTTTTTTCCTCTACTTACTATTATGGCCTAAGTATTTGTCATGATAGTGAAAATGCTTTTTATCCATTTGTGATGTCTGCTTATTGTTCCAGTGGTCAGATTGGATGAGAATAGTACTTTTATTCATGTTTAATGAGAGCATAAATTAGTGTAATATTTCTGAAAAGCAGCTTAGCAATATGTATCAAGAGCCTTAAAAAACACCCATAACATTTGCTAGCCCATTCCATTTACTAAGAATCTGTTCTAATTTCTAATATAATAATTGCATATAGGAACAAATGTTTTTACATAAGAGTATTCATTATAGTAGTAGATGTAATAGTGAAACCTGAAAATTGACTATTCAACAATAGGAAATTAGTTAAGCAAATTATGGTAAATTCATATGATATATAACTATTAAGATAATATTCAAAGAGCATTTAAAATTATCTGGTGAAATGCTCATTATATGCTAAATGAAAAAATAAGAATTGAAATTATATTTATAATCTCAGTTTTGTTTTTTAAAATAAGAATTTTTATATGTATTGCATATATAGAAAGATAAAAGAAACCCACTGAAATATCTAGATAGTGGGATTGAAACTGGGTTTTAATTTTCTTTCTTTCTTTATTTTCTTTATTGATTAAGGTATTACATATGTGTCCTTATTCCCCCATTGCCCTCCCACTTCCCCGCTCATGCCCTCACCCCCCCCAATGTTTAATTTTCTTTATAATTTTTCATATTTTCTTAATTTTTTCTCCAAGGAGGATGTGCTATTTTTATAATCAGAAAGATATAAGAAACATTTTTTAACAATCTTTTGGCTCAGATTTTAATTCCAGACTTTGCTGTCCTTTTCAGATATAAGAGTAAGATTTCCAACTGTGATCAAAAAACTTCCCTTCTCCTTTTGAATTCCCCCACCCCAAAAATAGGAAGAGGGCAAGAAATTTGGGTTTGCATTTGCAATCCAAGACTGAAGCTGCAGCAGCAAAGGTATTACCAGCACAAAAGGGTTCAGGCAAAGGGAAAGAGCTTGGGAAATAATTGAAAATAAGATAATTGGGTAGGTGCAGGGCTTGCTGTCTTGGGATTGAGAGACAAAGCTGCCTGCCAGAAGGAGAAGCTAGTGTCTTTGCAACTGGGTTCCAACCCTACAGAGCTGTCCTCCCTGTGTTGAAACCCCAGTGATTTTTAATCCCACTGGTGGTCACATGGAGGCAAGCATGTTTTCCTTAAAATATCACCCTGTGTAACTGAAGTAAATATTAGTAGCTACCATTTAATAAGGGCCTTAATAATCCTGGAAATAAGTAATTATCAGCCCCATTTTCAAGCTGGAGAAGTTGAGGCTGAGAGAGGTTAAGTACCTTTCTCACAATCACAAAAGTAATTAGGATTGTTAGAATACATACTCAGTTACATCTGACTCTAAAATATGTCTGTGCTTGTCCTATTGCTTCTCCACTCACTGTTCTGAACTTTTTTTTTTCTTGTGTAAAAACACTTCCACTGATTATTTTATTTAGAGAAACAAACAAACAAAAGACAGAGACAAAACCCCTGGTCATTTGCAGTATCTGTCAGCTTTCAATTTGGCTCTCCTGTCCAGAAGTGTTTCATGCAAAAATCCATCTTTCTGGACCTTTTTAAGAATTTTACTGCCGCCTTTGCTTATTTTAAGTTTCTGGTCTTGGAAGCTCTGAAATTTCTTTACATAATTGATTTCACACTGTTTAACATTTCCTTTGTCTTCCTCTGGGATGTCATCTTTTTTCTTAGTTTCTCTTTCAGCACAGGATCTAATCTTTATCATTTCTTCTCCTGAGGTTTTACTTTTTGCTTCTGTATTGCCTGCTTCATTGCATCTGATAAAGCAGCTATTTGAGGCCAATAAAGCCATTTTCCCATCTTGAAAGACTGGTTCCCATTGTTCTCTTGGTCCAATAGCATCTGAACGCCCAACAAGAAGTCCATCTGAATTTATACCAAGGTATTTTCCATAGCCAGATTTTAGGGCACTTCCGGAATCAGTCAGTTTGACAGCTATAAACTGCTCCGGGGACTAGGGTCTTCATCCACTTCTTTATGTGGAGTTCCCAGTGTAAAAAGTCCATTGTCAAGTGCATGTATGTAGGTTCCCTTATCCATTTCAGTAGCTATAGTTCCTGAAATTTCACCAAAGTTTGTTACTGTCCACCAGATCCCAACAATATCAAGTTGGGTTTCTTCATCATCTCTTTTTCTCTTCTTCTCTTTGCTCTTTTTCTTCTTACTCTTGGCCTTGGTTCCCTTCAGCACAAGTTTGGTGGACTTGACGTAGGATTATTTGGCCATGGTTCTGGTGACGCTTCTCTTTTTCACGCATCTTAACCATACTCAGTCTATCCATGATCATGGTGTAGTTCTCTATTTAAGCCCTCATTTATATCTTTCAAAAACTTTATATAGTTTTTCTTCATAAAATCTTGCATTTTTGTTGTTCTTGTCAAGTGTTCCTAATCCTACCCCTCCTGCCCAATTCGCTCCAATGCCTACCATTACTAAGGGATGGAAAAAACTGATTGAACTATGCCCAGTAGCTTGCTAACTCTCCATGTTCCAAACTCTTCTAATTTTTTTTCTTTTTTCAAATTTCTTTTTTTTTCTTTTCCGTTTTTTTTATTTCAAGAGAAATTATTTTAAATGTAATAATGTTACATGCAGTAAATCTTAATATTTCAAGAAAAACAATCTTAAATATAATGTTACATGCAATAAATGCCAGTTATTCAAAAAATGATCTTACATATATTATATGCAATAAACATTTCAAGAAAAAAAGAATTTTAAGTATAATATTACCAAAACTGTACTAACATAGTATGATGTAATGAAAGTTGTAGGAAATATTAACAATTTGCAAATAACAGGATTACTTCTGTTATATTCTGGAATTTTCCCTCCCTCTGTCTCTATTTTTGTTCATTTGTTTATGTTGTTCATTATATTCCACAAATGAGTGAG